GAAGCATGCAGGCTTAGAAGCATGCAGGCTTAGAAGCATGCAGGCTTAGAAGCATGCAGGCTTAGAAGCATGCAGGCTTAGAAGCATGCAGGCTTAGAAGCATGCAGGCTTAGAAGCATGCAGGCTTAGAAGCATGCAGGCTTAGAAGCATGCAGGCTTAGAAGCATGCAGGCTTCGAAGCATGCAGGCTTCGAAGCATGCAGGCTTAGAAGCATGCAGGCTTAGAAGCATGCAGGCTTAGAAGCATGCAGGCTTAGAAGCATGCAGGCTTAGAAGCATGCAGGCTTAGAAGCATGCAGGCTTAGAAGCATGCAGGCTTCGAAGCATGCAGGCTTAGAAGCATGCAGGCTTAGAAGCATGCAGGCTTAGAAGCATGCAGGCTTAGAAGCATGCAGGCTTAGAAGCATGCAGGCTTAGAAGCATGCAGGCTTAGAAGCATGCAGGCTTAGAAGCATGCAGGCTTAGAAGCATGCAGGCTTAGAAGCATGCAGGCTTAGAAGCATGCAGGCTTAGAAGCATGCAGGCTCAGGCTCGGTGTTTAGGAGGAACGCAATGACCTTTGGGTGGACTCAAAGGTCATCTCCGCCGGCTTGGCTTGGTGTTTAGCAGGAACGCAACGCCTGCATTGAATTTGAGGCGCCTCAAAAGAGGAACGCAATGCCTGCACAACGTCACTCCTCTTGATACCGCACCCCACCCGAGTTATTTGGATGTGACTAAAGTGGTGTCTTGTTGATGTGTCTCGTCTCCCTCTCTTCTTCCTCCCCTCCTTCACACAAACGACAGATTCGTGAGTTTCAGAAGTGCGTACCAGCTGACGACGTGCTCGACAGAGTGGTGGATTGCTGTCCCTGCTGAATCTGATGGTTAAGTCCCCACCTCTTCTCTCCCTCTTCGCCTCTTCCCCTCTTATTACATCAGATCCGTGAGTTCCAGATGTTCGTACCAGCTGATGGCGTGCTGCCCAGAGTGCTGCCCAGAGTGGTGCAGAGTGGTGCAGAGTGGTGCAGAGTGGGATGTCTTCATTCCTTCTTCCGTTTGATTTCCCTTACTTTTCTTTCACAACCCGCAGATCCGTGAGTTTCAGAAGTACGTGCCAGCAGACGACGTGCTCGACAGAGTGATGGATTGCCTGGTGAATGTGACTCAAGTGGTGCCCCCCATTGTGCCACACGAGGACTGGGAGAAGCTGATGAAGCAGGTCGGTCGGTCAGTCAGTCAGTCAGTCAGTCAGTCAGTCAGTCAGTCAGCCAGTCAGTCAGTCAGTCAGTCAGTCAGTCAGTCAGCCAGTCAGTCAGTCAGTCAGTCAGTCAGTCAGTCAGTCAGTCAGGCGGCAGTGCAAGGTTGGTGGCAGGCTGATCCGATCTGAGCGGAGCCAGCAGGGTAGGAAAGGAAAGGGGTCAGCTGAGCTCTATCCACGTCTCCCCATGTCCATCTTTCCTCCATATCTCCCTCCCCCGCTCCCCCCCTCCCTCCCTCCCTGCCTGGTTCCAGCCGCCTCCCAGCAACCCCTAGTTGCTGAGCCGCGTGCTGGGAGGGTGGGATGTGCTTCAGGCGCTGCAGCTCTATCCACGTCTCCCCATATCCATCTTTCCTCCATATCTCCCTCCCTCCCTCCCTCCCTCCCTCCCTCCCTCCCTCCCTCCCTCCCTCCCTCCCTCCTTTACCTGCATGCATGCCCCAGCCGCCTCCCAGCCCCAGTCGCTGCTGAGCCAAGTTCCGGGAGAGTGGGATCTGCTTCAGGCGCTGCAGCTCTATCTACGTCTCCCCATGTCCGTCTTTCCTCCATATCTCCCTCCCCCCTTCCCTGCATGCAGCCGCCTCCTAACAGCCCTTCACTGTTGAGCCAAGTTCTGGGAGAGTGGGATCTGCTTCAGGCGCTGCAGCTGGGGCAGGGGCATTGGCAGGGGCCGAGGCACGGGGCGAAGGAGGAGCAGGAGAGAGGGGAGCATGCGAAGGGGAGGGTGGAGAGCGATAAGAAGGGAGATGCGATGAAGAATGATGAGGAGACACAGGAGCCGGGAAGCGAGAGCAGTGGTGGTGGTGGAAGGGCGGAGGCGAGGAGATTAACTGGTGCGGTGGGGAGGAGGAAGGAGGGGAGGAGGAAGGAGGGGAGCATGGGAGTGATTGTGGCGTCACTGCGGGCAGCGTATGGGGAGATGCTGAGGGAGATGAGCATAGAGGGACGGCTAGCAGGCGGGCAGGAGATCGCTGTCAGCATGTGAGTTATACCTCCCCACCCCCCCACCTCCACCCCACCTCCACCCCACCTCCACCCCACCCGCCCCCCAGTCTCTGTGTGCGCATGTGAGCCTTTGTGTGTGCTTGTTTTGCCGGGACAGTAGATTGCTGTGAGCATGTGAGCGGGGGTGATTGTGGCGTTGCTGCGGGCAGCGTATGGGGAGATGCTGAGGTATATGAGCATAGAGGGACGGCTAGCAGGCGGGCAGGAGATCGCTGTCAGCATGTGAGTTATCACCTCCTTCCCACCCCCACTCCCAGTCTGTGTATGCGCGTGTGTGCCTTTGTGTGCACTTGTGTGTGCACTTGTTTGCACAGCATCTGAGGGGGAAGAAGCAGGTCGTTAGAATCAACTCATCCCGCATCTGTCATCGCTCCACCCATCCCCACCCCACGGTACCCCCCTCTCCTTCCTCTCCTGCAACCATCTCCAGGCTGAGCCACGATGGAGCACAGCAGCTGAGGGAGAGGAAGCAGGCGGAGAGGGCTATGAGGGAGATGTGGCTGCTGTCCATGTGGTATGTGTGTGGTGAGGCGGATGGTATGTGTGTGGTGAGGCGGGTGGTATGTGTGTGGTGAGGCGGGTGGTATGTGTGTGGTGAGGCGGGTGGTTTGTGTGTGGTGAGGCGGGTGGTATGTGTGTGGTGAGGCGGGTGGTATGTGTGTGGTAGGCAGGTGGTATGTGTGTGGTGAGGCGGGTGGTATGTGTGTGGTGAGGCGGGTGGTATGTGTGTGGTAGGCGGGTGGTATGTGTGTGGTAGGCGGGTGGTATGTGTGTGGTAGGCGGGTGGTATGTGTGTGGTAGGCGGGTGGTATGTGTGTGGTAGGCGGGTGGTATGTGTGTGGTAGGCGGGTGGTACGTGTGTGGTAGGCGGGTGGTGAATCATATCACCTGCACCACATGTCAAGTCAACACTGGTACTCACCACCACTGCCCGCCCCTTCGTCCTCTCCTGCCTCTCCTGTGCTCCCCTGCCCCTGCTCCCTCTCCTCCCTCTCCTCCCTCTCCTCCCTCTCCTCCCTCTCCTGCCTCTCCTCCCTCTCCTGCCTCTCCTCCCTCTCCTGCCTCTCCTCCCTCTCCTCCCTCTCTTGCCTCTCCTCCCTCTCCTCCCTCTCCTGCCTCTCCTCCCTCTCCTCCCACTTCTCAGTGACACGCTACTAATAACGGACTCATCCACATTCGGCTACATAGCAGCAGGCCTGGCGGGCGTTCGCCCCTACTCTCTCAACATTGTTGCTTGCTACCACAGCGACTGGCGCAAGAACAACCGAGCCTCCTGCTCCCGGACCTCCCCCGAGCCTTGCTACCTGTCGATATTTGATGCCAAGTCGAGACATATTCAGGTGAGCTTCTTCCTCCTTTCGAAACTATCTGTGAAAAGGTATGCCACCTCATATTCAGGTGGCACTATTCTGACCTGCTGAGGCTGGTTTTGAGGTCCCAAAAAAAAGTGCTACCTGCTTTTTTCCTTCCCCTCATCTGCTTCGCCCCCCTTCCCCCCCTCCTGCCCCCCTGCTTCCGCAGTGCCCCAGCAGCCCTCCAGTCACCACACTGGCAGACAGGCTTACTTTCTCCCCCTCTCATTCCTTCTACCGTCTCCTTTCCCCCTGTCCTATGCTTAGCCCCCCTTCCCCTCCCCACTGCCCCCTTGCTTCCGCAGTGTCCCAGTAGCCCTCCTGTCACCACACTGGCTGATAGGCTTACTCCCCCTCCCCCCCCTCCCCCCTCCCTCCCTCCCCTCATTCCTTTCCTCACCCCCCTTCCTCTGCTTCGCCTCCCTTCCCCTCCCCACTGCCCCCTTGCTTCCGCAGTGTCCCAGTAGCCCTCCAGTCACCACACCTGCAGCTGTCTCCTCCCTCGTTGAATACTGTCCCAATTATGGCATGGGCCTTTCCATTGTGCAAAAACGCACAGAAAGCAGCTTCTATTGAGTTGTACAACTGAATATATTCCATAAGGCTACATACGGTAATTACTCTAGACGGGCTTTTGGGTTGGCCTTGGTTCGATATGATTGCGGTAATTTTTCCAACTCGGACAGCAATAAACTGGTTTTAATGAATTCAACGCAGCATTCTTTCAAGAATATTGAAATGACCCAAACAACTCATACGGTTACACTACGTCCAAAAGCACAAGATAAGCGCCTAGTGTTGAATCAATCACATTCCATTTGGTAGTTGCAGTGTGCATCTTTTCATCAGAGGAGTGCAGGCGCGAGCAGTGCCATCACCCCACAAAAGAGGCAGCTTATAATGGATACAAAAGCAGCAGCAGCAGGAGGGGAAGCAGCTTTGGGAGGGGAGGGAGGGGGAGGTGGGGAGGGCGAGGGAGGTGGAAGGGAGTCCAATGAAGGAGAGGGAGTAGTGGAGGCAGGGGGAGACGGAGAGGAGGGTAGAGACGGTGCTTTGGGCACCGAGGGAGTGGGTGAGATCCTAGGGGACGCCCGAGGAGCAGCAGTGCTGGGCAAAGCAGGCACAGCAGGAGCAGGGGAAGTGGAAGGGACAGGGCTAACAGCAGGGGTGGGGGCAGGAACGGGAGTGTTGACGGGAGGGGTGGTGGCGGCAGCGAGGCAGACGGGGGGAGTGGGGCGGTTGAGGAGGTCGGTAAATTCGTTGGGGACTGTGCAAGTGTCGGGGACCGAAGAGAAGGTGTCACAGCAGGATGTGGCCTCTGGGTAGACGTTGGTGTTGCCTGCAATGCAGTTGGTCTGAAATGGGGGAGAAATGGGGGCGCAAGGAAAGGGGAATGGGGCGATTCAGTAGGCTGCTGAACACGATGGGGACTGTGCATGTGTCGGGGACTGAAGAGAAGGTGTCACAGCAGGACGTGGCCTCGGGGTAGACGTTGGAGTTGCCTGCGATGCAGTTGGTCCGAAAGAGGGGATGGGGAAAAGGGCGCAAAGGGTGGGATGCAGGTAAGGTAAAGAAGAGGAGTGAGAATAGTGGGGCGCGGGCGGTGAAGCAGGCTGCTGAGTTTGTTGTTGACTGGGACGAGTCGGGGACTGAAGAGAAGGTGTCGCAACAGGACTCGGGCCAACTGAATAGCAGGCATGGGGGTAGGCGTTGGTGCTGCCTGCTATGCAGTTGGCCTGAAATGGGAAAAAGGGATTGTGATAAGGAAACGGTATTGGGACTTAACGGGCCGCCTCTAAGAATGTATGATGCTTGTGCAGGTGAACCTGACTCGGGTCTTTCCCATCACCAGCCACGACCGAGAATTCTAAACACAATAGAAGATGATAAATTCATTGTTGTAGGAAAAAAAAAAAAAAAAGCGAAAAACATGTGTGCTGGTCACAACTATTTGTTCTGTATAATTGCACATCGCCACTCATGCGTAGGTTTTGTTTTCTTTTATAATTTTGATACGCTCATTTTATGCACATGTTTACGTATATATAATGCCTATAGCAGGACTTACACTGGTGAGCACGATTTGGACCTTGTCGTTGCCCATGACAACCCGCAGTATGCCCCCCACGATTTGAGTCATGAAGGTGCGCGCGTCAGGGAAGTACCACGTGAGACCGATTTGGACCGTTTCATTACACATACAGATCGAGACTTACACTGGTGAGCACGATTTGGACCTTGTCGTTGCCCATGACGACTCGCAGAATGCCCCCCACGATTTGAGTCATGAAGGTGCGCGCGTCAGGGAAGTACGGCGTGAGATCAAGGGTTGCGCTTTTAGACGTGGAAATGACTGGAATGGGAGGGGAGAAAAGGAGGGGAGGATAGAAGGGAGGGGGGGGGGGGGGGGGGAAGGAGGGGGGAAAAGGAGGGGGAAAAAGGGAGGAGGGTAAAGGGGGCGGGGGAGGAAGGGCTTAGGGGGGAAAAACGTGCACGACAGACAGATTCATGCAAGGGGAGTGCGCAGACAATAGCAAACCGACACACACTCACACAGAATATCCTTGCCTCGTCTGTGTGCCCTTTTTCAGAATTTATAGACCCTGGACTTGGACTCAGACTTGGTCCTTGCACATACTCAGGCTCCCCCGTCACACGGCATGTCCTTGCATGTTCTCACAGACGGCGTGTGCCTCTTACATGCGCTTGCCATGCGTTGACCTTGTCAACACACAGATACTTTTTAGGCGCCTCAAAAGTTGCCATGTGTTGACCTTGTCAACACACAGACTCGAAGGCGCACACCCGCACTCCCACCCACGCCCTCTCACACAGGATATCCTTGCATGCTTTGTATCAGACCCACACACTCACACCCACACCCTCACACCCACACACTCACACCCACACCCTCACACCCACACTCACACCCACACACTCACACCCACACACTCACACTCACACACTCACACCCACACACTCACACCCACACCCTCACACCCACACACTCGCACCCACACACTCACTCACACCCACACACTCACACCCGCACTCACTCACACCCACACACTCACACCCGCACACTAAGACCCACACGCTCACACCCACACACTCACAGCCACACACTCACACCCACACACTCACACCCACACCCTCACACCCACACTCACACCCACACACTCACACCCACACACTCACACTCACACACTCACACCCACACACTCACACCCACACACTCACACTCACACACTCGCACCCACACACTCACTCACACCCACACACTCACACCCGCACACTCACTCACACCCACACACTCACACCCGCACACTAAGACCCACATGCTCACACCCACACACTCGCACTCACACACTCACTCACACCTACACACCCACACACTCACACCCAAACACTCACACCCGCACACTAAGAGCCACACGCTCACACCCACACACTCACACCCACACACTCACACCCGCACACTAAGACCCACACGCTCACACCCACACACCCACACCCACACACTCACACAGGATATCCTTGCACGCTTCGAAGACGGCCTCCGCCTCTCGGAGACAAACAGCCACCTCTGTGGATCCCACGAACTCGTTGACCGTCACGTAGCTGCCCGCGTAGGGGTCGCACGTCGCACGTAGGGGTCCAACTTACAGAGAATGTCCTTGCAAGCCTCGAAGACGGCCTCCGCCTCTCGCAAGCACACAGCCACCTCTGTGGATCCCACGAATTCGTTGACCGCCACGTAGCTGCCCGCGTAGGGGTCGCACGTGGCGGCGCATACGAGGTCGTCGAGCAGCTGGCCGCACTGCTGCTGCACCGCCATCGAGTCGCACACCTGATTCGGTGGGGATGAGGAGCGGTGTGGTACGGTTGTAAGTGGTAATAGAAGAGTAAGTGAAGTCGCACACAAGATCTTCGAGCAGCTGGCCGCACTGCTGCTGCACCGCCATCGAGTTGCACACCTAGAGGAGGGGAAGGAGGGATGTGGGGAGGAGCACGCGGTACGCGATGGAAGAGAGGCCAAGGGAGGGAAGAAGTGGTCACGAAACCCCAAACCTCGGTTCAATGCAATTCAACCCAGTCAACGCGTCTAGACCAAGTCAACGCGTTGAATAACCCAGTCAACACTCACCATCGTGTCGCGCGAGATGTCGCCCAGAACCGCCACGGGGATCTGCGACATCACGCTCGGGTCCAGCGCCTGAACGATGTCGTACAGATTCGCGCTGGCCAATGAGAGCGCGCTGTTCACGTCTTCGCAGTTGTCGCAGCACGTCATCCCGATATACGCGGGGCATCGCAGCGGCGCGACCGCGGGTGTCGCGGGCGGGTTACCATTCGGGCAGATGGGGAAACCGGTGTTGTTTTCCAACGGCGGCGGAATTTGAGCGTGGACGCGAACAAAGGGCGAAACGGCGACGGTGGTTACCAACAAAAGGACGTAAGATTTCGCTACATGTGAACATACACCTCGTCGCCTGAATACGGGTTCTCTGGCCATAGCAGCTCTATTGTTTATAGGCAATAATGTGTTGATGCCGAATGGTTCTAAAAGCTATAGATTGGCTATAGGTTCGTCTCTTAAAGACCGTTAAGCTCTGCCAGCACCTATTAAGTGCTCCTAGACTGCGAACACTTTAAACTACTTACACTGGTGAGGAAAAATTCAGGCGGATAATGAGGGCGCAGGCTCTAATGGCTATTAAGTTATGAATTGGCGGGCTTAGAAATAATAACCAATGCGTTGCGGAACCGTCAAGGCAGCTAGGTTGGCTGGCGCAGAAGTGGCAGCGTGACTTCGGCCGCAGATTTAGGTACACTAAGGTCTGGTCTCGTGTGATTATGGCTAGGAAATACTGTTTGTTCTAGTGAGATACGATGAAGTTGTTCCTAAATCATGCACAGCTAGGCTTCCTCAGAGCAGGGGTAATGGAAATAGGAGTGCAAAATTGACACGCGACGCGAATACTGTGGAGCGAATAAACCTTGTCACCTGACCAGTTCCTGAACGCACCGACTAAAATTGCATGCTGATTGAGGTGCGTCGCAGGGACGAAGCAGGCCTGGTCTGTACCGAACCTCCTGATGTTCTCCCAATCAATCACAGGTTATTGCTGGAGGCGAAGAAGCAACTGGTTGGCCTGGACTGCGTTTGGCAGTGACGTACCTGAACGCGTCGCGCTACTTCGATCACCAGACCTGGAACGAAGCAGTCTTCGTTGCGCGAAATGTGCTTCGGCGGGACCAAACCACGTGTCACTAGCGAATCGCGGACGCACGAAACACATACCAGAGGCACTGCCTGCCAGTTCGGCTGTGGCGTGAAGAAATGTCGGTGGTGTGACACTCTTCTGAATCAATTTTATACATAGTCCAGATCTGAGGTGATAAGATTATCCTGCTTGGCCACAGAAATGGATGATTCCATTTCCAGGTTTGGTTGGTATTGCTAATGATTTGCATGGTGGTATCCTTGTGACAACAAACTGTATGAAACAACCTATTTTGTGGCATCCATCCCATCATGTGCCCCTCTCCTCCCCTTTCCTCCCCACTATCCCTACATCGCCCATATTTTATGCCGTCCCAGCTCGGTAACTCTACCTACCTCCACTCTACTTCGCCCGGTCTCGTTCCGGGCGTTTTCCTATTTGACTCGCATCACTCTTCCTCCCGACTCAGGTCAACGCCTCCCACCACGGCCCCTCCCTCTCCCACGTCCTCCCCTGCCCCCTCTCCCTCCTCTCCCTCCCCTCCAAGCAGGCCGTTCAGATGGTAGCCTCAAAGACTGCACTCCTCTCCTCCCCTCCCTCCCCTCACCCCCCCCATCCCTCCCCCCTCCTCTCCCTCCTCTCCCTCCTCTCCCTCCTCCCCTTCCCTCCCCTCTCCCACCCCCTCGCCTCCTTGACTGCATCGAAACAGTAAACTCCACCGCGCCGCCCGCCCTCCTTACAGGAACGCCATGAGCGGCGCCTTGGCCGCTAGCAGACGAATGCGGGAGCTGTGCGATTCTCTCCTCCAGGGGCAGGTTCTTCTGGGCGGCGAGGCTTTGGCGGTTTCTGAAGGCTGCTGCATGCACGTCGTCTCTCGCTTCGTAGAGCCTGAGAGTGGGAAGAGGGCGGATGAGAGTGGGACGAGGGGGGATGAGAGTGGGAAGAGGGGGGATGAGAGTGGGAAGAGGGGGGATGAGAGTGTGCATTTGAGGGGGTGCGGGGGGTTGGAGAGGGGTGGGGGGAGGGAGTGATAGTGGAAGGAGTGGGAAAAGGGACAGCAAAAAACATCGCACTTGACACATCATGTGCAGTGGAGAAACGAGTTGTGTGTGATTGCAACGTGTTTGATCCAGAAAACCATCTCAAGTTCTGAACTAGTGTGGTGCTTGGAGCTCAGTAATTTCCTCTCAAATGCTTGGAGCTCAGTAATTTCCTCTCAAATGCTTGGAGCTCAGTAATTTCCTCTCAAATGCTTGGAGCTCAGTAATTTCCTCTCAAATGCTTTACCTTGGCTCCTTGGCCCCTCAGCCATGAAGACTAGGGTGAGCAGCAGTTAGGAAGACTAGGGTGAGCAGCAGTTAGGAAGACTAGGGTGAGCAGCAGTTAGGAAGACTAGGGTGAGCAGCAGTTAGGAAGACTAGGGTGAGCAGCAGTTAGGAAGACTAGGGTGAGCAGCAGTTAGGAAGACTAGGGTGAGCAGCAGTTAGGAAGACTAGGGTGAGCAGCAGTTAGGAAGACTAGGGTGAGCAGCAGTTAGGAAGACTAGGGTGAGCAGCAGTTAGGAAGACTAGGGTGAGCAGCAGTTAGGAAGACTAGGGTGAGCAGCAGTTAGGAAGACTAGGGTGAGCAGCAGTTAGGAAGACTAGGGTGAGCAGCAGTTAGGAAGACTAGGGTGAGCAGCAGTTAGGAAGACTAGGGTGAGCAGCAGTTAGGAAGACTAGGGTGAGCAGCAGTTAGGAAGACTAGGGTGAGCAGCAGTTAGGAAGACTAGGGTGAGCAGCAGTTAGGAAGACTAGGGTGAGCAGCAGTTAGGAAGACTAGGGTGAGCAGCAGTTAGGAAGACTAGGGTGAGCAGCAGTTAGGAAGACTAGGGTGAGCAGCAGTTAGGAAGACTAGGGTGAGCAGCAGTTAGGAAGACTAGGGTGAGCAGCAGTTAGGAAGACTAGGGTGAGCAGCAGTTAGGAAGACTAGGGTGAGCAGCAGTTAGGAAGACTAGGGTGAGCAGCAGTTAGGAAGACTAGGGTGAGCAGCAGTTAGGAAGACTAGGGTGAGCAGCAGTTAGGAAGACTAGGGTGAGCAGCAGTTAGGAAGACTAGGGTGAGCAGCAGTTAGGAAGACTAGGGTGAGCAGCAGTTAGGAAGACTAGGGTGAGCAGCAGTTAGGAAGACTAGGGTGAGCAGCAGTTAGGAAGACTAGGGTGAGCAGCAGTTAGGAAGACTAGGGTGAGCAGCAGTTAGGAAGACTAGGGTGAGCAGCAGTTAGGAAGACTAGGGTGAGCAGCAGTTAGGAAGACTAGGGTGAGCAGCAGTTAGGAAGACTAGGGTGAGCAGCAGTTAGGAAGACTAGGGTGAGCAGCAGTTAGGAAGACTAGGGTGAGCAGCAGTTAGGAAGACTAGGGTGAGCAGCAGTTAGGAAGACTAGGGTGAGCAGCAGTTAGGAAGACTAGGGTGAGCAGCAGTTAGGAAGACTAGGGTGAGCAGCAGTTAGGAAGACTAGGGTGAGCAGCAGTTAGGAAGACTAGGGTGAGCAGCAGTTAGGAAGACTAGGGTGAGCAGCAGTTAGGAAGACTAGGGTGAGCAGCAGTTAGGAAGACTAGGGTGAGCAGCAGTTAGGAAGACTAGGGTGAGCAGCAGTTAGGAAGACTAGGGTGAGCAGCAGTTAGGAAGACTAGGGTGAGCAGCAGTTAGGAAGACTAGGGTGAGCAGCAGTTAGGAAGACTAGGGTGAGCAGCAGTTAGGAAGACTAGGGTGAGCAGCAGTTAGGAAGACTAGGGTGAGCAGCAGTTAGGAAGACTAGGGTGAGCAGCAGTTAGGAAGACTAGGGTGAGCAGCAGTTAGGAAGACTAGGGTGAGCAGCAGTTAGGAAGACTAGGGTGAGCAGCAGTTAGGAAGACTAGGGTGAGCAGCAGTTAGGAAGACTAGGGTGAGCAGCAGTTAGGAAGACTAGGGTGAGCAGCAGTTAGGAAGACTAGGGTGAGCAGCAGTTAGGAAGACTAGGGTGAGCAGCAGTTAGGAAGACTAGGGTGAGCAGCAGTTAGGAAGACTAGGGTGAGCAGCAGTTAGGAAGACTAGGGTGAGCAGCAGTTAGGAAGACTAGGGTGAGCAGCAGTTAGGAAGACTAGGGTGAGCAGCAGTTAGGAAGACTAGGGTGAGCAGCAGTTAGGAAGACTAGGGTGAGCAGCAGTTAGGAAGACTAGGGTGAGCAGCAGTTAGGAAGACTAGGGTGAGCAGCAGTTAGGAAGACTAGGGTGAGCAGCAGTTAGGAAGACTAGGGTGAGCAGCAGTTAGGAAGACTAGGGTGAGCAGCAGTTAGGAAGACTAGGGTGAGCAGCAGTTAGGAAGACTAGGGTGAGCAGCAGTTAGGAAGACTAGGGTGAGCAGCAGTTAGGAAGACTAGGGTGAGCAGCAGTTAGGAAGACTAGGGTGAGCAGCAGTTAGGAAGACTAGGGTGAGCAGCAGTTAGGAAGACTAGGGTGAGCAGCAGTTAGGAAGACTAGGGTGAGCAGCAGTTAGGAAGACTAGGGTGAGCAGCAGTTAGGAAGACTAGGGTGAGCAGCAGTTAGGAAGACTAGGGTGAGCAGCAGTTAGGAAGACTAGGGTGAGCAGCAGTTAGGAAGACTAGGGTGAGCAGCAGTTAGGAAGACTAGGGTGAGCAGCAGTTAGGAAGACTAGGGTGAGCAGCAGTTAGGAAGACTAGGGTGAGCAGCAGTTAGGAAGATACTTTTAGCAAAAGAAAGACAGTGATACTCTCTGCCTTACCTTGGTTCCTTGGCCCCTCTCTTCCGCGACACATCCTCCTCCTTTCCGCCCTGCACCAACCTCCTCTTCCCGCTTCCACCCCTCTCCTCCTCCTCATCCCCCTCCTCTCCCTCATCCTCATCCTCTTCCTGTCCCCCCTCCTCTCCCTCATCCTCATCCTCATCATCCTCCTCCTCTTCCCCCTCCACCATTTCGAAATGCTCCGCTAGAAGCTCCTTATCCCGCTTCTGCTGCTGCCGCCTCTCCTCCGCTCCTCCCCGCATGCCCCCATGCAGGGCCATGTACTCTTGAGAGTCCTCATCCACTTGGAACGCCTGTAGGGGGGAAAAGGCAAAAGAAAATGGCACAAACGATGTTAACTGCTAGCCCTGCCAGTTCTCTCCTCTGCTCCTCCCCGCATGTACTCTTGAGAATCCTCATCCACTTGGAAAGCGTGCAGAGGAGAAATTGCACCAAACAAAAGGCACACTAAACATGCAGTCGTCTGTCGGGCCTGTAAGCGAGGATCAGTAAGGGCAATGGCCGCAGCCTTCCGCTGCTTCCGCGCCCTCCCACTCATCCCCATCCCCTCCCCCTACTCTTGCTGCTCCTGCTGCTCGCTCCTCCACTTTTACCCCTTGCTCACCTGATCCGTGAACAGCGAGGCGAAACGAGGGTCAGCCAGAGCACTGGCAGCAGCCTTGCGCTGCTTCCGCGCCTTCCCTCCCGCCCCTTCCTCCTCCTCGTCCTCCTCCTCCTCCCCTCCCTCCTCCCTTGCCGCCTCGGCTCCCCCACTCTGCTGCATCAGCTGCGCTGCTAGCTTGGCATTCACCTTGGGAAGCTTCTTCTGCACCTGCAGCGTGGATAGTAGATGAGGAGAGGGAATAGAGAAAAAAGCAATAGTAAGGGCAAAGGGAGGTTTAAAATGCCATTAATGCACCTCTTCCTTCCTCCCTCCCTCCCTCCTCCTGTGTCCCCCCTCTCTCCTGCTATCAGCTGGCCGGCCAGCTTGGCATTCACCTTGGGAGGCTTTTCTGCGCCTGCAGGTTTGGAAAGTAGATGTGGAGTGGAGAGGAAGGAAGTGACACCAGAAGTAAGGGGGACGAGAGTTGGTTGGGACATGCCACAAATGCACCTGCCCTGCATCGACTGGGCAGCAGATGAACAGAGACACAGGCGGACAGACAGACGTTCAGAGATGCAGGCACGTCGCTTTCAGGCAGACAAATCACTGAAACGAGGCTGGTCTGCTTTTGGTGATGTTTTAAACAACCCCTTGCACACAACTTACCGATATGCGGCTGGCCCTCCGTGCTTCGATCTTCTGAGTCGACTCTAAAGGCACGTCACACAGACGCAAATCACTCACAAACAAGCATGTCAGGCACAAAAACTCACTGAGATGCGGCTGGCTCTCTGTGCTTCGATCTTCTCTTTCACCCATCTGCTATTGAGGTGCGCACATTGCTTGCAGGCAACTCAGGTCACACTCGAGCAAATCACACATATGCGCGCACATTACACAAACAGCATGTGACTTGCAGGTAGGCAACTCACCGAGATGCGGCTGGCTCTCTGTGCTTCGATCTTCTCCTTCACCTTCTGCTGCCGGTACGCGTCCCATGCGAATGGGTCTGCTATGGACTTGGCCTGTGAGGAAAGAGGGGGGCGGGAGAAAGGAAAAAAGAGGAGAGGCAACGGCGATGTGAGAGAGGAGGGAGGAGAGAAGAGAAGTCTCCTTCACCTTCTGCTGCCGGTATGCGTCCCATGCGAATGGGTCTGCAATGGACTTGGCCTGTGTGGGTGAGGGGTGGGGGGTGGGAGGGAAAGGAGGAATGGAGGGGTTGAGAGAATGGAGGAAGAGAGGACAGGCTGGTTGGAAGAATGCGCAAGAACCAGCAGCTCTGTCGGTTTTGAGACGTCTCAAAGGTCGGAGGAATGCGCAAGAACCAGCAGCTCTGTCAGCCTCAGAGCATGCAGCGCGGCTTGTAATAACCACACTACCTTGTGCTACCCTTGTGCTACAACCACATATGCCTTGTGCTACAGCAGCGAGTGCAGGATGAATCCGTGCATGAAGGGGCGCAGCAGGTTGGTTCCCAGTGGTATGGCTACAACAACAATACCTCCTGCTACACCCATAGACCCTTGTGGTACAGTCATCATACCTTATGATACAGCCGCGAGTGCAGGAAGAACCCGTGCATGAAGGGGCGCAGCAGGTTGGTTCCCAGCAGCTCTGTGAGCCTCAGTGCATTCAGTTCCTCCCGTGTGACGAACTTGTAATCGTCGTACATCGCTGCTCCGCCCTCCTCCAACTCCTCCTGTTGTTGTGATAGGGTTGGTAAGGGGAAACAACAGGGAGCAATGGAAAGATGGGGACGATGGGAAGAGAGAGAAGCAGCTCATTCAGCCTCAACACATGCAGCTACTCCCGTGTCACAAGTTTGCAATGCAAGCGTCGTACATCGCTGCCACCCCGCACCTCCATCGCCCCCTGTTGTTGAATGGGATGAAGCAAGCAGGCCTGCAGGGGGGGCGAGTCCGTTGCTGCTACGAGCAGCCCGTTCCGTTCCTGCCCCGTTCATCCCGCCACCACTACCATGTATCTGCTAGCCTCACAGACTCACCGTGATGTTCTCAAGGAAGGAGCACCAACGGGGGGCCGGGCCAAGCGACGGGATGAAGTAGGCCTGCAGGCGGGGCGAGTCCATTGCTGCCACGATCAGCCCATTGCTGCCCCATTCATCTGCTAGCCACACAGACTCACCGTGATGGTCTCAAGGAACGAAAAACAGCCAGGAACGGGGTCCAGCGAGTTTTTGAGAATTCTCAAAAGGCCCAGCGAGGGGGATGGACTTTCTTCTTCGATGAACCAGGCCTGCAGGCGGGGCGAGTCCATGGCTGGCTGCGACGATCAGCCCGTTCATTCACTCCACCGCCTCTGTCTGTTGATGTCATGCCCCCATGACTCACCGCCTCTGCCTGTTGATGTCATGCCCCCATGACTCACCGCCTCTGCCTGTTGATGTCATGCCCCCATGACTCACCGCCTCTGCCTGTTGATGTCATGCCCCCATGACTCACCGCCTCTGCCTGTTGATGTCATGCCCCCATGACTCACCGCCTCTGCCTGTTGATGTCATGCCCCCATGACTCACCGCCTCTGTCTGTTGATGTCATGCCCCCATGACTCACCGCCTCTGCCTGTTGATGTCATGCCCCCATGACTCACCGCCTCTGCCTGTTGATGTCATGCCCCCATGACTCACCGCCTCTGCCTGTTGATGTCATGCCCCCATGACTCACCGCCTCTGCCTGTTGATGTCATGCCCCCATGACTCACCGCCTCTGCCTGTTGATGTCATGCCCCCATGACTCACCGTAATATTTTCCAAGAACGAGCACCAGCGGGGTGCGGGTCCGAGAGAGGGGATGAAGTAGGCCTGCAGGCGGGGCGAATCCATGGCTGCCACGATCAGCCCGCTGCCTCGCATCACACACACGTCGTTGATTCCTCCCGGTTCTGTTGGCTCCACACTCGTCACGTTGGTGCCCTGCAGGGAGAGACAGAGAAGGGGAAGGGAAAGGAGATTGGCACCTACAAACAAACTCTCACAATCAGCCCGCTGCCTCGCATCACATCACACACACGCCCTCGATGACCTCAACTAGTACCACTGTATGTGATGGGATGGCCCATCCATCCACGACATGTGTCATGCCATGCCATGCCATACAGTGGTGGGGTTCCAAGTCTTGACAATGCGCTTGTCAATCAAATTGTTGAGGCGCCTCAAAAATAATGCGCTTGTCAATCAAATTGTTGAGGCGCCTCAAAAATAATGCGCTTGTCAATCAAATTGTTGAGGCGCCTCAAAAATAATGCGCTTGTCAATCAAATTGTTGAGGCGCCTAAAAAATAATGCGCTTGTCAATCAAATTGTTGAGGCGCCTCAAAAATAATGCGCTTGTCAATCAAATTGTTGAGGCGCCTCAAAAATAATGCGCTTGTCAATCAAATTGTTGAGGCGCCTCAAAAATAATGCGCTTGTCAATCAAATTGTTGAGGCGCCTCAAAAATAATGCGCTTGTCAATCAAATTGTTGAGGCGCCTCAAAAATAATGCGCTTGTCAATCAAATTGATGTGCTGGAATGACCCTTACTAGTATCCGTGGCATGAGACGACGTGGCATGGTATGGCATGGCAAGGCATGGCAAGGCATGGCATGGCATGGCATGGCATGGCATGGCATGGCACACATACAGTGGTGGGGTTCCAGATTTTGATGATGCGCTTATCGGTTGAAATGATGTGCTGGGATGACCCTGCTATGCCTCTGTGCCACTTGATGCTGTGGATGGGACTGCCGTACCTGTTAAGACGAAGGGGAGAAGGGGGAGGGGAAACGGCAGGGGGACGACTGAGGAAAAGGAGCACCTGGTGTGACACTGTGCTGGGATGACCCTGCAATGCCTCGATGCCACTTGATGCTGTGAATGGGGCTGCCGTACCTGTTGGAGAGAGGGGAGGGGGGTGGACAGGGAGGGAGGGTGGAATTTGGTGAACCACCCATGTGCTGCAGTGACCCCGCTATGCCTGTGTGCCAGCCACTTGATGCTGTGGAAGGATGGGACTGCCGTGCCTGTTGGGAGCAGCGCGGGGGCGAGGGGTGAGTGGGGGAGGGAGGGATGATGTGAGAACAAACTGGAACTCCTCCGCAAACACTTTTTTTCAACAAACCCCTGAAAACGCAAGCGAGGTGACTTTTGAGTCGACTCAAAAGTGGGGGAGGGACGGATGATGTGTGAAACAACTCCTCCGCAAACACTTTTATCAACAAACCCCTGAAAACGCAAGCGCAGCATCCCTCCCTCCCTTGGCCAAGAGCAGCACTTCCAAAGAAACTACCTCCTCACACAAGCACCACCTTCCCATGCAAGCACCTTCCCACTCAAGCACTTTACCCCTGCAACCGCACACCGCAACTTACATGTGGTCCTTTATCCGGTAGGGCTTGGAGGAGCGGAGATCATATAGCAGCACCTGGGAGAGGGGGGCGGGAAGGGGGGAAATAATGGGGGAGAATGGGCGGAAAGGGGGCAACAGAAGGGGTGATGGAAGGGGGAATGGAATAGGGGATGGAAGGGAAAAGAACGTGGCTGGAGGATGGTTGAACCAAGAGCGGAAACAGGACACGTTCTTTCCCTTCCTCTTCACAGGACAAGGGTGAGCTTAGTGTGAAGAGGATGTGTGCTGTGCACACGAAGAGACGTTCGGATGGCACGAAACCTTTCCTTTCCCTTCCCACCCCACCCTGCCCCACCCCACCCCACCCCACCCCACCCCACCCCACCCCACCCCACCCACCCACCCACCCCGCACCCTCCCTAACTACCTGGCCTGTGCTCGTGCCAACCGCCAGATGCATGCCCTCTGTGTCTTCAAACCGCACTGCTGTCACTTGCTGGGAAAAGGGGAGGAGGGATAGGTAGGAAGGACGAATGATGCATTCTGAGACGGGAGGGACCATAGTGCTTATTAATACAACGGACCATTCGACGGGAGGGACGAGAGAGATGGATGGCGCTTCACATGCAGCACCTTCTCACACTGGCATTCCCAGTGCCCCTCCCTCCCCCCCTTCCCCCCCCCCCCCACACACACTGCATCAATGTGACGCACACACGGCTGGTCATCCATCCTCCCATCCTCCCTCACCTGATCGGCATTTCCAGTGGCCCCCACGGCGTCAATGCGGGACACAGCAGAGGCCTGGCGGTTGTCAAAGCACTCCAGCGCCGTCCTCCCCGCCACACGCGATGAGCCCGTGCTGGTGCTATCACACTACCACTGCACGAGCACCCCAACTCTAAGCCTTTGTTCTAGTACCTGCTCAGCGTTCCCAGTGGCCCCCACGGAGTCAATGCGAGACACGGCCGACGCCTGGCGGTTGTCGAAGCACTCCAAGGCACCGTCCTCCCCGCCACAGGCAATGAGCCCGTGGGAGGGGCTGCGACCGATCACATTCACTGCTGGCGACCGCGACTGCAGCGACTGCTGGAACTGACCCTGTGAGTATTGACAGGTCGGGACGGAAAAGGGGAGGAGAGCAGCACAGTAAGAAGCGAAGCAGTCACGAGTACGAGACCCCCAGACAGTCACTACTGCCGTGAACGTGTTACTGCAGCCCATCACGTTCACTGCTGGCGACCGCGACTGCAAGGACTGCAGTGGCGACTGCGACTCCAAGGACTGCTGGAACTGACTCTGTGGGGGAAGAAAGACACGGGGGAGGGTGGGTGTGTGTGTGGGAGGATGCAAGGGGTTGGAGGGGAAGGGAAAGGGGAGATCTGAGGCAGTGAGGAGCAGGTCACTCGAGTGACCTCTCAAGTCACCTCTTGCACTCCACCACCCATTTCCATTGGTTTTGAGACGTCTCAAAACCAATCTTCATACTCGAGTGACCTCTCAAGTCACCTCTTGCACTCCACCCATTTCCATTGCACCCACCTTGTTTGAGGTTGATTTTGAGAATTTTCAAAATCAACCTCACTCAAGTGACCTCTAAAGTCACCTCTTCCACTCCACCACCCATTTCCATTGCACCCACCTGCTCCAAGTTGATCCTGTACATCTCAGGCAAGGAGGCATCATGCAGCAGGTCGCTGGAGCGCATTACAAGCACACCTGCTACAGTCACCTTCTGCATTGCACGCACTTGCATTGCACCCACCTGTTCTCCACGAAACCCCATCACACACACCCACCTGCTCCAGATTGATCCGGTAAATCTCAGGGGAGGAGGCAGCGAGCAGCAGATCGCATGATGCCGGGTCGTACGCCAACCCTCGGCCCATCCTGAGATTGAAGCAGCATGAAGAGGGAGCGCATGGAGGGGAGGGGATAGACAGCACATGGGGAGGCGGTGGTGCAAAGTGTGTTGAGGAGGCAGGGAGCAGCAGGTCACACGATGCTGGGTCGTACGCCAATCCCCGGCCCATTTTGCAGTTGAATCGGCACGGGGCGAAAAGCCACGTAAGTGTCAATTAAGTGTCAAAGACGTGTGTGATCTAACCGTCAGCTTACCTGGGGATGCGTGTCTTGAAGTAGGCTCCAAACTTGGCATGGAAGCACACGGAGCGGTCGGCACACAGAAAGGCAATCTTGCTGTAGTCGTCTGTGAGCACCTGGAAGTCCACAATCTCGGAATCCAGATTGCGCTCAAACTTGAGCGACAGCTCTGCCAGCTCGTACACGCGCACCTGAGGGGGGTACACGCCTGGGGAAGAGAGGTGTGATGTGGGGGGTTTGGGAAGGCAAGGAGGAGACAGAGCAAGAGAGAGAGGAGTGTTGATCTTGCTATAGTCGTCTGTGAGCACTTGAAAGTCCACGATCTCTGAATCCAGATTGCGCTCAAACTTGAGAGACAGCTCTGCTAGCTCGTGCACCCGCACTTGAGGGGGGTACACGCCTGGGGGAGTCGGGGGAAGGCAAGGAGGCGCCTCAATACGTCAAAACGCGGAAATCCACAAGCTCCGAGTCCAAACTTGAGAGAGAGCTCTGCCAACTCGTACACCCGCACTTGTGGGGGGTACAAGCCCGGGGGGTTTGGGAGGGAGGAGAGAGGGGAAGGCGAGGAAAAAGGAGGAGGATGGGAAAGCAGTGGAGTCCCGCCAGTTTCGGTGGGATAATTAAACGCCTACTGACGACTGAAACGCACCTGATGCAAGAATGTTAGCGAGGCTCAGTGGTAAATCTTCAAGCTGATGAGAGCGCACCTGAAGCGAGGAGGTATTTGCCGTCACGAGATGCCTTGATCCGCGTTGAGGCGACTTTGAACTCGAGGTCCTGAATAAGCTCGATGCGCCGCAGGTAGTCTGGCGAAAGGGAGAGAGAGAGAGAGAGGCACACACACAAACACACTCACAACAAGGCGACAAACCAGTCACAGTGTACCACGCATGCACGAATGTGCGCACACGAGATGGCTCGTGAGGCAAGATGACTCTAGCAAGAATGTCTTGACCTGCGTGGACGCGACTTAGAGCTCGAGCTCCTAAACGAGCTCAATGGCCCAGAGGCACTTTAAACCCATGAGACGAATTCCCAAACCTTGATCTGGTTGGAACCCGAGCCGTGATCGTGTGCCTTCTTTCCTGCTAAACGCGTGCTGCTTCTTGTTTTTGAGACGTCTCAAAAACGAACCCGAGCCGTGATCGTGTGCCTTCTTTCCTGCTAAACGCGTGCTGCTTCTTGTTTTTGAGACGTCTCAAAAACGAACCCGAGCCGTGATCGTGTGCCTTCTTTCCTGCTAAACGCGTGCTGCTTCTTGTTTTTGAGACGTCTCAAAAACGAACCCGAGCCGTGATCGTGTGCCTTCTTTCCTGCTAAACGCGTGCTGCTTCTTGTTTTTGAGACGTCTCAAAAACGAACCCGAGCCGTGATCGTGTGCCTTCTTTCCTGCTAAACGCGTGCTGCTTCTTGTTTTTGAGACGTCTCAAAAACGAACCCGAGCCGTGATCGTGTGCCTTCTTTCCTGCTAAACGCGTGCTGCTTCTTGTTTTTGAGACGTCTCAAAAACGAACCCGAGCCGTGATCGTGTGCCTTCTTTCCTGCTAAACGCGTGCTGCTTCTTGTTTTTGAGACGTCTCAAAAACGAACCCGAGCCGTGATCGTGTGCCTTCTTTCCTGCTAAACGCGTGCTGCTTCTTGTTTTTGAGACGTCTCAAAAACGAACCCGAGCCGTGATCGTGTGCCTTCTTTCCTGCTAAACGCGTGCTGCTTCTTGTTTTTGAGACGTCTCAAAAACGAACCCGAGCCGTGATCGTGTGCCTTCTTTCCTGCTAAACGCGTGCTGCTTCTTGTTTTTGAGACGTCTCAAAAACGAACCCGAGCCGTGATCGTGTGCCTTCTTTCCTGCTAAACGCGTGCTGCTTCTTGTTTTTGAGACGTCTCAAAAACGAACCCGAGCCGTGATCGTGTGCCTTCTTTCCTGCTAAACGCGTGCTGCTTCTTGTTTTTGAGACGTCTCAAAAACGAACCCGAGCCGTGATCGTGTGCCTTCTTTCCTGCTAAACGCGTGCTGCTTCTTGTCAAATATCCACTCGAACAAGGTCTTGACCGTTTCAGGAGAAACCCGAACCCCAATCCGTTCAAAACCCAAACCCTCGTCCCTTCGAAACCTTTACCCCATTCCTGTAACTTCGTCCGTCCTGAGCGCGCGTTTCGACTTGTCCAATATCCACTCGGGCATGGCCTTGCCCGTAGCCTAACCCTAACTCCTTCGAAACCCTAACCCTGATCCGTTCGCAACCCTTGTTCTCATCCCTTCGAAACAATAACCCTAATCATGTACCTTCGTCCTTCCTGAGAGCGCGCTTCTTCTTGTCCGAAATCCACTCGGGCACGGCCTTGCCGCCCGACACGTTATACACCTTCACGCCGTTCAGCGTGCTCACGCGCAGCCCTCCCCCTCCCCCTCCCCCGCCGCTCCCCGCGCCTGGCATAATTGGTTTGCAGATGGACGGCGGGAAGCAACCCGACAATAGCCCGGAGGGAACGTGGAATCCCTAAAAATTCCGAGGACCCCTGAAACACCGCTGAAAGGAATCAAATGTAGCGCTCAACTACGACTATTACTGAATGTTGGGGGAAATGGAGGGCGGAAACCGGCCGAATAGGACGCAAACTTTGAAACTAATCCTCGGTGCTTGACGGACGCCTGAAACGAACTCCCTCCGAGGCCACTGGCAGCGACAACCGCCTGAAACGAGCTCGAGGGGAAACCGTGATCCAAGTATCAAACACTGCTGGTAGTGCTGGTATCAAGCTCCGAAAGACCCGATGCACGAACACCCAGTTGCCAGGCGCACGCTTCATACCCTTTAGTGTCATTCTTGTGTCTGTGATTGCCTTAATACAGCGTCTCCATGATAATCCAGAACATAATTTAGTTTCAACATTACAGCTATACAGCTAGAGACCATTATTGCTGCAGAATATTCTACAATCTAGTCCCGTGTGTGAATCAATTTACAAGATCCAGCATATAAGGTGCTTCTACATCATTAGCAGTCAATTAATTACACCATAAACCTTGTGCCAAATATGCACAATCGAGGACCCTGCATACCGTGTATAGCATGCACAAACAATAAATAAATCATAACCCAACTTTCAACCACCACCGAACTGGTTGCATTGCATACCCATACATGCCAAAGGAGAGGGCAAAACTCCATCCTCCATTTAAGAAACTACTGAATCACCTTCGTTACTAGGACCAGAAATGCTCCACCACACCGTTATTTACGCAAACACTGCTGCGGCGCCTACAGCCAGAGCAACCACTGACATCAGCGAAGCGGGGGAAACAGCCCCAGACTTGGGCGGAGGGGGAGGGGACAAGAGAGTCGCAGGCGTTGGGTTAGGGGAAGCCGGAAGAGTTCCAGCAGTGGGAGCAGGCGCAGGGGAAGCAGGCGCGGGAGCAGCGGGCGCAGGAGCAGCAGGCGCAGGAGCAGTGGCGGTAGTAGGCAGGGGAGTCGTCTGGGGCGCAGCGGCCTTACAGGCGGTGGAGTTGATGGAGCGGTTGATGTAGTGCGCGTACTTGACCTTGTCAACAGCGCCTCGGGGACATTTGGGGTCGACGGTGAGGGGGTCGCAGCAGGGGGTGTAGGTTGGTGCGGCTGCGGCTCCCGAGAAGCATGCACCCTGTGGCAAGGAGAAGGGAGTGCAGTGAATAATGAGCGGTTGATGTAGTGCGCGTACTTGACCTTGTCAACAGCGCCTCGGGGACATTTGGGGTCGACGGTGAGGGGGTCGCAGCAGGGGGTGTAGGTTGGTGCGGCTGCGGCTCCCGAGAAGCATGCACCCTGTGGCAAGGAGAAGGGAGTGCAGTGAATAATGAGCGGTTGATGTAGTGCGCGTACTTGACCTTGTCAACAGCGCCTCGGGGACATTTGGGGTCGACGGTGAGGGGGTCGCAGCAGGGGGTGTAGGCTGGCGCGGCCGCGGCTCCCGTGAAGCATGCACCCTGTGGCAAGGAGAAGGGAGTGCAGTGAATAATGAGCGGTTGATGTAGTGCGCGTACTTGACCTTGTCAACAGCGCCTGGGGGGCACTTGGGGTCGACGGTGAGGGGGTCGCAGCAGGGGGTGTAGACTGGCGCGGCTGCGGCTCCCGAGAAGCATGCACCCTGGTGACGCGGAGCAGGGAAAGCGGAATGAGAAGTCACGGTTAAGTATAGCACAGACAGAGTCTGTAGGTTGGCGCGGCTGCGGCTCCCGAGAAGCATGCACCCTGTGGCAAGAGAAAGGGGTTGTATGAGTGAAGAATGAGGGGTTGTTGTATCATGGGAAACTGAACTGGCTAGAGTGAACAAAAAAATGGATTTAGTCACTGCAAGGGATTGGACGATGTTGCAAAGTAAGGCCCGTTGCAATGTTCTGGCATGAACTGCAATGTTCATTGCATTGCAACGGTGACAGCCATGAACCCTTAACCACTTCCATTGCAAACTCATATGGCTGTCAGTCACCGTTACCCACGGCACGTTACATAACACACGACACAAGCAAGCTTGAAGATAAAGCAGACATGCAGCAAGACAATGAGGAGTAAGCACGCACAGGACATATGGTCTTTGCTCACAGGATCACACCCGCTCCGCTGTCATTAGTGGAGCTCTGATCACGGGAATTTGAAGTGTCTCAAAACAGAGAGTAAGCACTCACAGGAGCGATGTTGATATTGAAACGGAGCGATCCGTATCAACATCGCTCCTGTGAGCTCACAGGGATCACACCGCTCCGCCGTCATCAGCGGAGCTCGGATCACGGGAATTCGAAGTGTCTCAAAACAGAGAGTAAGCACTCACAGGAGCGATGTTGATGCGGTCTTAAGCTCACAGGGATCACGGGAATAACCGTGATCCCTGCGATCAACATCACAGGGATCACACCGCTCCGCCGTCATCAGTGGAGCTCGGATCACGGGAATTCGAAGCGTAGTACGCCGCATAGACCATCCCATCAGGCTATGCAGTGAGGCAGCTCAAAATAGAGAGTAAGCAAAGCACTCAAAGGAGCGATGGTGATATTGAAAGTCTGATATTCAAGAGTCATCAAATAGGCGAAATTCGAGGCGTAGAGAGCCACATAGTCCATCAGGCTTTGAACGTCGGGGTAGAACTGGTATATCAGACCGCCCCGGACTGCAAGGGGAGAAGGAAGCAGGGGAAGAAGGAAAGAGTCGTGTTACAAGTCGACTTAAAACACGTCGAGGATGAGCTGGCTCATCGCTGCAAGAGGAGAAGGATGAAGGGGCGAAGGGAAGTATGGGTAGAATGATACGATCTGAATGGGTACAGGGACGGGAAGGAGAACGGGAAGAATAGAAGGATGCGAATAAGGCAGTGACACTCAAAACACGGTTCAGTGGGTGTTGCAAGATTTGAGAACTTTAAACGGTGTCAGCAGATCTTAGGACATTCTTCCAATGAGCAACACTTGCATAGGAGTAGGTTTCAGCAAGACTTGACAGATTTGAACGGTGACTTACTTTCGACGTCATTGCATGCTTCGAAGACGGCATTTGCGAATTCCGGGCAGAGCGTCATGATGATTTCTAAATCCGTCTTCACAATGTAACTTCCTGAATCTGTGAAGCAACAAATCCAAAAACAAGTTGGATCAACTATACTGATATTGCTCTCACTAATTAATTTGTGATGTGGCACTTGGCATCAACACGCCGCGAAAAATTACAAGCATGCATTCATAACGGCACGCTCTCTAAATCCATGTCAATGTGGCCGTGCCAATACATGCTAAATGCATGCTGATGGCATGCAAATGCATGCTGATGGCATGCAAATGCATGCTGATGGCATGCAAATGCATGCTGATGGCATGCAAATGCATGCTGATGGCATGCCAATGCATGCTGATGGCATGCAAATGCATGCCGATATCATGCCAATGCATGTCATAAAGACAAAACGAAGAGGCACTCTTCTGGGCTGTCCTGAAACTCCTCAAACCAGCCACTTGGGTGCCAAAACCCAGAAGAGTGCCTCACTTGGGTTGGGGGGGGGGGGAAGAAGGGCATCGATGGATGAGTGCCAAAAGAGAGAAGCAGCACTCGCCTGGGTTGCACGTGGCGCCGCAGATGATCCGTTCGATCATGAGCATGCACTGGGGGTACGGCTGAAGCGCATCGCACACCTGGCGGCACGCGGAGGAAAAGGACGAATGGGGGGAAGGGAGGGGGTGTGTGGAGCGAGGGGAGGGTGGGAGGAGATTGTGAGGCGGAAGGAGAGATGGGGAGGAGGGGGTTGGGCAGGGGAGGCGGGTAAGATGGAAACTGAGGGGAGGTCTGAAGCAGAGAGTATGGAACAATGCTGCGACGAGTCCTTTGCCACCCTTAGGCTGCATTGACCGAGTCAACTCTGACATAGGAACCCTTCGATTGTAACACCCTAAGGCTGCATTGACCAAGTCAGAAGCAACTTTGGTTCGGGACCCAGACCTTTGCACTGGCGGAGATGGGTGTTACGAACAAACTTTTCTAGCATTGGAAAACGTTGGAAACCCTAAGGCTGCATTGCCCTGGGCACTTTTCTGACAGCCAGCCTCTGTAGTGTTCGATTCGATAGAATGCGTAACATTTCTGACTGTACCGGCATTAAGATGTACGGTTCCGATTGAACCAAGACCTGCGGATGGGGGACCGCGGCGGAACCTCGCAGCAGCGGAACACCGCCGCGGGAAAAATGTACCATGTGGCTGAGATGTATTTAAGCGTACCCGCGCGGTGCCGCCAAAGAGATCCCAGGTGTTCATCATTTGACCAAGATCGTCAAGGGTTGACGAGACGAACTCCAGCGCTTGATTCGTGTCCGCGCAGTCCGCGCAGCACGACAGCTCCGCCGCCGCGGGGCACCGGTGCGGCGGAACGACGGGCTTCTTCGGCGCAAGCCCCGTGAGCGCGCAGCGCGGGGCGGCGGCGGCGGCGGGCGCCGCATGCGCGGGGACTAGCACAAGGAGGAGCGCGGCGAAGGCGAGAACTGCGAAGCGCGTTGAGTGGGCCATGGCGAATAAGGTCAGCTGGTCAGGTCGCAGACGCTTACTAGCTGCGGACTGCCGGTTTGGTGGAAGTTCGGAGTTTTGTTCGGCTTTTATATTCAACATCCAAGGACGTAACGGCACACACACCTACTGACGTGGATGAGAAACAAAGGCGTGCGGTTAACGGGAGTACGATAAATGCCTGTGTCACGAATAGAGGCAGCTGTGATAGCAAAGAGTACCCATGGGACTTCCCAGGGCCGTTCCGCCAACGCCGGTCCCGCCACCGTCGGGGGTGGGTCAGGACTAAGGAGGAGACTATAGCACTTACGACTAATGACGCTCCTCCCTGTCCTGCCTGAACACCCGGCCAAATCCCACATTTGTGGTAGTGACCCCTCGCGAGAAAATTCGCGACCCGGCGAATTGCAATGCGAAAGTATCTGGCAAAGGGCGATTTTCTGTTATCGGTCCTCATTGATCCAGACAAACGTGAGTAACAGAGAAACTCGCGGAACAAATTCGCGCAGGCGATAGTTGGTTCGCCTACGCGATCGCACATGCACGAATCAGGCCATCGCGAGGGCTAGGAAACCCAACCCCTTACTAGCACTTTCGGCTGAGCCTACCTTACTCAAAAGGTACAGAAATTCTCTCGTGCATATGGTTCACCCTATCTTGCTGCCAAGATTTTACACTTGCTGATTCCAAGACGTAGGCAAGCAGTTTCAAAGACCTAGTCAACCCTTTTGAGAGTTTAGGCTTTAGGGCTGAAGTGAAACCCCCCGCACCATCTACCGTATGCCTAAATGACGGCAGCTTGGAAGTGGTAAAATAACTTTTGAGTTGATAATTGATAAGCCTACCTTGAACAACCATCAACCTGGTCATGTACCCATCCGTGCCACTGAACCAGACAAAACTCCATCCACAAGTGCTGCAAGTCCTCCCCGAATCACCTTCGTTACAAGGGCCAACTCTTGTCTACCAGCCCCCCGTTACACCAACACTGCTGCAGCGCCAACCGCCAGAGCCACCACCGACATCACCGAAGCAGCAGAACCAGCCCCAGCCTTGGGCGGAGGGGGAGGGAACGAGGGGCTCGCAGGCGTGGGGCTAGGCGAGGCAGGCGGACTGGGCGCTCCTGGCACGCCTGCAGTGGGTGCAGGCGGAGCAGGAGCCGGCGCACCAGGAGCAATCACAGAGGGGGCCGGCGCACCCGGAGAAATCAGAGAGGGTGCAGGCGCAGCAGCTCCAGGCGCAGGGGGAGCAGGAGCGTCCCGAGGAGGGGACGGGGCAGGGGCAGGCTGGGGAGCACCCGACATGCAGGTGGCAGAATCAATGGTGCGGTTGATGTAGGGCGCGTACGCGACTTTGTCAACAGCCCCCGGGGGACACTTGGGGTCGACGGCGAGGGGATCGCAGCAGGGGGTGTAGGTTGGCGCGGCTGCGGCTCCCGTGAGGCATGGTCGCTGTGGCAAGAAAAAGGGGTACAGTAGATCATTTGGGATTGGATTATGGAAAACTGCGGCTGCCTGTAACCGTTACCCACGATGCGTTACATTACACAAGCAAGCTCGATGTTTACTCAACGGGTGATGCAGTGAAATGCAGAAATGCAATGAAAAGAAGACATGCAGCAAGACGATAAGGAGTAAGCAGCACTCACAGTACCGATGGCGATGCTGAAGTTCTCAATACCCATGAAATTTGCAATGTAGTTGGTCACATAGACCATCATGTTTTGAACGTCGGGGATGAGCTGATTCATTGCCACGCCCTGGACTGCAAGGGGAGAGGGAACCAGGGGAAGAAGGAAAGAGGGGCCAGGGCAAGTATGGGATAAACGATCTGTGTGGGAAGAGGGGCAGAATGGCATGAGAGGGAACAGGGACACGGGCAAGACCTCGATGTTGCAGGGTGCTTTTGAGAATTCTCGACCCTGCAAGACCTCGAGGTAACGGGAACGGTCTTAATGATATGAGAGGGAACGGGGCAGAATGATGTGAGAGGGAACGGGGCAGAATGATGTGAGAGGGAATGGGGCAGAATGATGTGAGAGGGAACGGGGCAGAATGATATGAGAGGGAACGGGGCAGAATGATGTGAGAGGGAACGGGGCAGAATGATATGAGAGGGAACGGGGCAGAATGATGTGAGAGGGAACGGGTTCGGTCTTACTTTCGACGTCCTTGCATGCTTTGTAGGCGGTATTCGCGAATTCCTGGCAGACAGTCATAATGATCTCTCCCCCCTTCTTCACTACGTAGGTTCCTGAATCTGCGAAGGAACAAAGCCAAAAGAAATGTTAATGTGGCCAATGTGGCTGCGCATTTCCAGCAACAAAATACTCCTCTGAAGAAGGACCCATCTGATAGGTTCTGAAACTGCTCAAAACAAAATACTAGGAAAATCAATAATGCGACAGAAAGAGGCAGCGATGCGAAGTGACGAAGAGAAGCAGCACTCGCCTGGGTTGCACGTGGCGCCGCAGATGATCCTTTAGATCATGAGCATGCACTTGGGGGGGGGGGGGGGGGGGGATGTGGCTTCAAAATGCTTCGCACTGATTTGTACAACGTCTCATTAACCGCGATGCGATGAAGCAACACTCGCCTGGGTTGCACGTGGCGCCGCAGATTATCTTTTCAATCATGAGCATGCACTGGGGGTACGGCTGAAACGCGTCGCACACCTGACGGGACGCGGAGGAAAGTGCCGAATGGGGGGAAAGAGGGGGGTGGGAGAAGGCTGGGTGGGTGGAGCGAGGGAGGGAGGAGGAGATTGGGGGGGAGGTGGGGAGGGGGGGAGATGGGGAGGAGGGTGGGGGGAGGGAGGGGGGGTTGCAACCCTAGTAAGGTTGCATTGACCCACATGCATTGGAACATTGGAACCCATGTGCATGTGGGTCAATGCAACCTTACTAGGGTTGCAACCCCCCGTCCCTCCCCCCACCTTCCTCCCCAGCACCCGGTGCTGAAAAATTATGTGGAGATGGGTGTCGTAAATTGCTGACGTTCTCTGACAGATCCAGCTGCAGAGGTGCGGTCGCGATGTACGGTTCAGATTGAACCAAGACCCGCAGGTGGGGAACCGCTGCAGCGCCGGAACCCCCCCGCAGCAGCGGAACGCGGGGAAAGCCGCGTACCATAGGGGTGAGATCTATTATGCCGCTGCCGGGGATATTGGGGTCGATCCGTTGCGCGACATCGTCGAGGGTCGACGACACGAGCTGCAGCGCGCGATTCGTGTCCGCGCAGTCCGCGCAGCATGACAGCTCCGCCGCCGCGGGGCACCGGTGCGGCGGAACGACGGGCTTCTTCGGCGGAAGGCCCGAGAGCGCGCAGAGATCGGCGGCTGCGGGCGCCGCATGCCGCTCGGGGAGCAGCGCGAGGAGGAGCGCGGCGACTGCGAGAACAGCGAAGCGCGTTGAGTGGGCCATGGCGAATGAGGTCTGGCCAGGCTAGCGAGATCAGGTCGGAGGCACTTTAGCCGGACTGCGTGTTTGGCGGAAGTTCGGAGTTTCAAACTTCGAATAGTTCCGCTTACTAGTTACCCAGTATCTACTAACGAACGTATACACACCTGCTTTCGTCGACCTCTATACTGGCGTGGAGGAGAAATAAGGGTTCGAGGCTCACGGGAGCACGGGAATGCCTCTTCCATTCCGGAAAGGCATTCCGGTGTCATTTCGGAAATCGGAATGTCTCTGCAGAGACTGCTCGTTCTGTAGGTGTCATAAATTTTCCTCAGATCTGACGGCCGGACGTTGCCTCCCTGGGCATTTTGGAGCGACGTTGCGACGTCGGCCGGCTGGGATTTGCCAGGACCGCCGGCCGGCCAACATGATCCGTCCCGCCACCGTCCGTGAAGTGACTGCGCTGGATTCAGGTCGTTCGCCAGCTGGGCTCCGTCACGACTCACGTCACGACTATCTTTCTCTCCGTCACAAGTAGTGCGGCAACACAACAGGGCCCTGAGCTTCCCCCAAATCCCACGCTCCTCGTCCTTCGTGACCTCTCGCGAAGAAAATCGCGACCCGGCGAAGTGACATGCGAAAAAATATGCCGTCGCCGATTTCCTGGCTTGGGCTGCTCGTTGAGTGCAACGGAGGGACTCGCAGAACGATTCGCGCAAGCAAAAAAAGCTTCGCCTGCAAGATTCGAACATACACGACACTTCTCGCGAACAAACCGGACATTTCGTGCCAATACAATCATTCGCCAGCCGCACAGCGAAACCCTGCCCCCCAATAGTAGTTATCTCATGCCAATATAATAATTCTTGCTGAGCTCAAGAAACCTGGTGATGTGTAGAAGAGAGTTCACTGAACATACGGAGTGTACCTCCAGAGTCCTTATAAAAATGGATTGCAGTCCAATGCCACCAGGAATGAGAAACAGTTTCAAAGACCTGGCAAACCCTTTTCAGAGTTCAGGTAACCACCTGGGTTAAAGTCAATTATTTGCACCATCTACTTTTTGTCCAAATGTGATCTTGAAGTGGTAAAGAACTTCTGAGTTGATAAAAAATTAGCCAACCTTCAACAACCATCAACCTGGTTGTGTACACAACCCCTGCCACTGAACCAGACAGAACTCCCTCAATGCCGAAAGTCCTTCCCGAATCACCTTCGTAACGAGGATCAACACTAGTGTACCAACCCCCCGTTACACGAACACTGCAGCGCCAACTGCCAGAGCCACCACTGACATCACCGAAGCAGCGGAACCAGACCCGGACTTGGGAGGAGGGGGAGGGGGCGAGGGGCTTGCAGGCGTGGGGCTAGGCGAGGCAGGAGGGGTGCTAGGGGCAACTCCTGGCGCTTGGGGAGAAGGTGGGGGGCCTCCTGCAGTGGGTGCAGGCGCAGCAGGAGCAGGCGCAGCAGGAGTAGGCGGAACAGCGGAAGGCGGAGCGGCAGTAGGCGGAGCGGCAGTAGGCGGAGCGGCAGTAGGCGGAGCGGCAGTAGGCGGAGCAGCAGTAGGCGGAGCGGGACCAGGCGCGGGAGGAGTGGAGGTGGAAGGGCCGGGGGCGGGCTGGGGTGCACCCGCCATGCAGGCGGCAGAATCAATGTTGCGGTTGATGTAGGGCGCGTACTTCACTGTGTCCACTGCCCCCGCAGGGCACTTGGGGTCGACAACGAGGGGGTCACAGCAGGGCGTGTAGGGTGGCGCGGCCGCGGCTCCTGTGAAGCATGTGCTCTGGTGGTGCGGGGTAGGAAGGCGGAACAAGACAGGATCGAGCAAGTCATTGTTAAGTACAGTAGAGTTTGTATGTAGTTAGGCATGTAAAATGTAGTATGCAAGGCCAGGTGGTTGAAAATCAGATGATGCAGTGATAGGCAGAAATGCAGTGAGTTGAGGGGTCCAAGCACTCACAGGAGCTACGAAGAGACCCCATAACCCTAAGTTCTCAACACCCCATGACCACGACAGCTTTGGCAACAACCAAAAACAGCACAAACACTAAGACCACATGTGCTAGGGAGGAAGGACAAGGAGAAAGGACGACTCACAGGAGCGATGGTGATGCTGAATCTCTGGACTCTCCTAACTGCAACGACATTGGAGCGGAGATGACCAAAAACACCATGCAAACTAAGACTCCACATGTTCAAGAGAGCAAGGGCGAAGACTCACAGGAGCGACGGAAATGTTGAAGTTCTTAACACCCATGACTGCAATGACATTGGATACGACCATGGTCATCATGGCCTCCGCGGTTGGGATGATTAGGTTGAGCGCGAAGCCACTGACTGCAAGCGGGAAACAGGAAAGAAGGGAACTCGAAAGGGTGAGGCAGCGGCGTTGGATACAACAGTAGACATTATGGCCTCTGCGCTAGGGATAGCATGTTGCGCGCTAAGCTACCGACTGCCAGAGGGGAGTAGGGATGGAAAGTTGAAGATGATATAAGCTGAACATGGACGCGAGGGAGGATCATAGATCACGTCTTGGATGTGCATGTTTTGCGCGCAGATGGCTTTTGAGTCAACCCAAAAGTCACCTTGTTCAGCACGAAGCTCCTGATTGGGCAGAGGGAGAGATTTGGGCCAGGAGACTAGACCGGTGAGTAAGGACGCGATGGAGGGAGGCCGCGACACTGGCGACGGTCGCGACCTTGAGTGGTAACCACCAGAGGCTCATCAGGGCCCGCATGTCCGACGGATTGCTTCACATTTATTTGCAACATGAGGTGTCCGATTCAATGGACGGTGGAGATGAGCATGCTGGTCGCTGAAGGACAATCGCGATTCTGACAGCGCTGGACAGCTATATATTTGGTTCATGGCCCGTTGGTTGGTTTGTTTTACCCCGCTTTGCGGGCAGAGGGAAGTGAGAAACCGGAAACTTGCGCGAGTACAGGTGCCGCTGATAAAAAATGCCGTCGATTTCAGGTACGCTGAAATCGAACCGCGTGGCATGCGACGCGCGGATTACTGAGAGGTCTTACTTTCGACGCCCCTGAACAAATATTCCGAGCAGACAGCCAGGTGACTTTTGACTCGACTCGATACTCTTTCAACCCGCGGATTTCTGAGAGGGGTCTTACTTTCGACGTCCTTGCACGAATCGTAGGTCGCTTGCGCAAATTCCGGGCAGACCGTCATTATGATTTCCCCCGTCGGAGACTTTTTAACGTAGCTTCCCGAATCTGCAGAGAGAGAGAGAAGAATAAAACATACAAAGTGCGGACTTCGTATCATTAACTGCAAAGAAAAAGTGCACTAATAGTCATCACTCGCAAATAGCACGCTAGTGACGGAACATTCTGAGGAAATCTCTTGCCTGGATTATTTTGTGACGCTTCAAAATAATCGTTTCATACAACAAGGAAAGAAAGAAGGAAAAAAGACACCGCAATATGGCAGGACAGCGAGACGATGCGATGCGGCAGCACTCGCCTGGGTTGCACGTGGTGCCGCACACAATCTCCTCGATCATCAGCATGCACTTGGGGTACGGCTTGAACGCTTCGCACACCTGGCGGAGGGGGAGAGTGAAAATGCCGGGAGCGCAGGGTGTGAGCGGAGAACGGAGGAGGAGCGGGAGGGAGAGGAATCAGGGGGGAGGGAGGGAGGGAGAGAGGCACACATCCATTTACGTCCATCCATGACGGGGGAAGGGACGAAACGCTTTTACAACGGCAACCGAGGTTTGCCTGTTTTTACTCAGCATTGTTCTACATTTATTGCGTCTCGTCGAATACCACTTTTTATTATAGAAGCACTCTCGCGGAGCACGAATTTTATTGAACCAGGTTGCGCGGGTGGGTACCGCAGCGGCAGAACCCCCAGCGGCGAAACGCCCCGGCGGCGGAATGCGGGCTTCGCGCGGTTCGTTTTCGGTTCGCGGTGACTTCGCACTCTCGGATCTGAACACTCACGACAAATGCTGAATGCAGATGGTCTACCGCGGTTCGCGACGGCTTCACACTGTCACAACTATATCATTCATGCAAAAAGGAACGCCTACCATGAGACAAGCATCGGTGAAGCCGCCGAGTTTCCGCTAACAAAGACTTAACAATCTCAGATCCAAACGAACACGATCAATGCTGCAAGCGGAATGAAAAGCCTACCATGAGACCCGCATCGATAAAGCAGCCGAGGGAGGGTTTATCTAGTTGACGACTTGCGCCAGATTATATAATCTTGACGCGCTTCGTTTTTTTTTTAGGAGCTTCGAAGGAAGGCCTACCGTGAGACCTGCATCGATGAAGCCGCCAAGCGAGGGATCGATCTGGTTGACGACTTCCGCGAGGTTCGACGACACCAGCTGCAGCGCCAGACCCGTGTCCGAGCAGTCCGTGCAGCACGACAGCTGCGCCGCGGCGGGGCACCGCGACGGCGGCACGACGGGCTTCGTCGGCGGAAGCCCCGTCAGCGCGCAGAGCGGCGCGGCGGGCGCCGCGTGCGCGGGGAGGAGAGCGACGAGCGCGGCGACTGTGAGAACGGCGAAGCGCGTTGAGTAGGCCATGGCGTGTGATCAGGTGAGGTCGCAGATGGTAACTAGCCGCGGTTAGTTGGTCGCAGATAGCTAGTCTCAGAAGTCGGTTGGTGGATGTTCGGAGATGGTGTTTGCCTCGCCGCGTGCGGCACTTACGCCTTCTTTCGGTCTCTACCAACGTGGAGGAGAAACAAGGCGCGAGGTTGACGGGAGCACGGGCAATGCCTGTGCTACGGATCGAGCAGGTGCAAGAGCGGAGAGAAACCTCGTGGCCCACCAGTGGCGTAAAGCGAGGCTGAGGTCTGGACTGGTCGCTTTTGGCTGGAGGACGAAAGTGCCACGCCACTCTGGTTGGAGGAGGTAAGGGCGAGGGCAGGGAGGAGAAGAAGGATCTCTTTTTCCATTTTCAGGATTCTCCTGCCCCGAGTAGACACAGAGTATTGTTCGCCTGCCGTCAAGTTGCAGTCAGGTTGGAATTTCCAAACCCTGCAAA